GGTTGCAGCCGTCATTGTTGTTTGGCGGGCCCGGGCTGGATTTGAACCTGCCACCTTGGGTGTATGTGGCTGGTGCCTTAGCCACTTGAGCCACAGGCGCCGAGCCATATGTCCTTTTATAGTTACATATTGACTTTTAAAATTTCAAGTTAGACTGCATTTGTGTTGTTTTGTTTGTTAAAAAAAAAAACCGGGTGGCACCTGTGGCTCAAAGGAGCAGGACCCCCAGGCCGCATAAACCAGAGGTGGTGAGTTCAAACCTGGCCCAGGCCAAAAATTGCAAAAAAAAAAAAAAACACTGCCATTACAGGCTGGGCATCGTGGCTCACACCTGCAATCCTGGGAGGCCAAGGCAGATGGATTACTTATACCCAGGAGTTCCAAATCAACCTGAAAAAGACTGAAACCCCATCCATACTAAAAATATAAAAACTAGCTGGTTGTGGTGACATATGCCTGCTGTCCCAGCTACTTGAAGACTGAGGCCAGAGGATTGCTTGAGCCCAAGAGTTTGAGAGTCTGAAGTTGCTGTGAGCTGTGACAACAATACAACACTCTACCCCAGGTAACAGAGTATCAAAAACAAAAACAAACAAACAAAAAAACATTGCATATTTAGCAATTTGCCTATATATTTAGCAATTTTTTCCTCTGTTATGGCTTATAGCTTTACTTTCCTGAGAGTTCATTGTTCTTTTTCTTTAAGTACATCTTTCAATATCTCCTTCAGTGAGGACCTACGGCTTATGAGTAATAAACTGTTCTATTATTTTTTGTCTTTCTTTTCATTATTTTTCAGTTATTCATAATAGAACAAGGGCTGAGTATACAATGTTAGGTTGACTCTCAGCACATTGAAGATATTATTTCATTTCCTGCTAGTGCTCAAATATTGATTAGAACTTTGTGATCATAAATTTTGGCCTTTTTTTTGCATTTGGTTTCTAGTTAATTTTAATATTTCTTTTTGTATTTATAGTTCCACAGTCCCATCAAGATATGTCTGGGTACCAATCTGGTTTTTCTTTATCTTCTTTGGCTCTTGGTATATTTTCAATTTGAAGATCCATGAACACATTTAAAAAATCTAAAACTAAACCTAAATCTAAACTAAATCTAAAATCTAAAAAATTAAACTATTTAGATTAATCCCACTGACATTCTCGCTACTCTTTTCTGCTACAAAAATCCTTTAGAAATATGTCTGTGCTTCCAGTTAATGTCTATAACCAATAAGTACTTCTTGTATTTTCATTTCTTAAAAACTCTATGCAGCCTTCTGGGAGAACCCCTCAGATTAATCCTCTAATTTACTAATGCTCTTTTTAGCTGTATCTAATCTATTCTTCAACTCAGATATTAAGATTTTAAGTTTAAGCATCATATTTCTTTTTTAGTATCATACTTGTATTTTTCTCAATTTTCAAATCAACATTCTTTTTTCCAAAAGTATCCTATTCTCATGTTTTGAAGTTTTGGTTGTTTTTAATCATATGAACATGTTTATTTTATAATCTCCCTAAATATTTTTTTAAAAAAATTATTATTATTCTTTATTGCACCTCTGGGTTCTCCCAATTACACGTTGCTATTGTGCATTTTGAAATTCTATTCTGAACTCAGTCAGTGGTGCTTTATTTGTGGTTGCCTTCTGGGGTGTAAGTTGAGAGAGAATCCCCCCAGAGAAGTTTGCCTATGAGTTCACAAAGTACTTCTATTTTAGAATCAGATTCATATGCAGGGGGACCATCTTTTTCCTAACCTGGGGTCATGGAGGACACAGAATGCTTCCTTTTTGACAACTTGTACTCTCTGGCAGAGCTTTTACTGAATCACACTTTGATTAAAGGTCTGAGTATTTATGAGTTCCAGTTGTATGAACCACATGAGTTCCCCTTCTCCACTTTGTACAGACTCATTAAAACCCAGGAACACAATTTTAGTCCTAAAAACCCCCTCAGGGAAGCCACCACTTTCCCTCAGATGGTCACTCTTTGTCGCCAGAGCTTGCTTTGGTTTTGGCGCATCTGTGCATGCAAGAGGATGTTTATTGTACCTTTTCTACAGTTTATAGGTGTCTAGAATGGGAACATTTTCTGATTTCATCTCGTCAGCCAGATTATCACATAATTAAAAGAACTGAACTCAATCTGTGACCTACCATATAGGAACCAAGTGTAGTAAAATGATAGATTTGTTTATTGTTAACATTAGATTTTAATATGCACAGAAACA